GTTTTTGCATTTTTAATTATAATTTATTTATTTAGAAATTAATACTAATTTTTTTTATTACTCCTATTACCTCATTTTTGCATTGTTTCTGGGAATGGAATGCTTTGCATGCATCGGTACTTTAAAAATAAAAAGTTAAACATGGGATGTGGGGGGTATTGCTTATCTTGTCACAAAAAAAAAATTAAAAAAAGATAAAAAAATCAGGGTGTGTGATTACAAACTGTATTACTGTGGTGCTGTTACCTTGGATACATTCCATAAAAATGCAAACCTTTGATTCTGTATGCTGTGACATAGTGGAAAACTGCAATATAGTGACTGTGTTTAGCACATATATATGAATATTATTTGCACTCATAATCAAACTCTGGTGATCCTTTCACTTGTGTCCTTGTGCATTGAAGGTGATTAAGGGCACTCTGCAAAACCAAAATGTTTCGGTCGATTCTTGCTACCACCCCATCCCCTGACACTGCTGGTGATGCTCCTGCTCTTGCTGCATGTGTTACCCTGCAACAACACCCAGTACGAGGCTGTGCTTCAGGCAAGGCATGCATTAAGTGCAAGACTCTGCTAATCATTTCAAAAGCCCAGGAAGGAAGCCTAGGCATGGTGTAGTTTTTGTTGCCTATGGGTGCTTGGTTTGGCTCTTTTCACTCTCTGTGCATGCACCCATGGGTGCTGAGGAGAGGATGGAGAGGCAATTGTTTGAGCCTGAGCTTGGAGGCGACAAAACTGAGGCATTCATTGCAGCTTTTAAGGGTTGACCCTGGTCTAGCTGAAAGGGGCTGGGATGGATGTGAGAGTGATTCGACATCCCTTTGTAATGCCTGCCAGCTGCCAAACGTGCATGGAGCAGAAGCTCTCAGTGCTGATTGTCTTGACCAGTTAATTTCATCTCCCTCATTAAGGGTCAAATCTCAACTTGGAGCTTTTAATCCACTGTCAACCTGGGACATCCACTGGAACCCTCCTGTCCCCAGGGAGTGGGGCAGCCCCAAGCTGTCGTCCTGCTCCTGCGGCAGTGGCCAAGCATCTCCATCCCCATTCCAATTTCCATCCCCATTCCCACCCCTAGCCACAGCCTCACCTCTCTCACAGTGAACTGCCCTTTCCTAAAAGGCTCCTGAATATCAAGTGCTCAAGCCTTGCAGGAGGTTTTAGAGCACCTTTGATAATATCTTAAGCTTTAAGCCATAACCACTCTCAGTCAGCACAGATGCTCGGCCATCTATGGACAGACGTTGGGATCAATGCATGTGCTCAGCCAGTAGTCCTCCCTTGCAAAGGCTTTGGATACAATTCTCTTTTGGGTTAGAAAGGCACAGAATGACTGTACCTTGATTTTCTTTCTCTCTGTCCCTTCAGGGTGCTGCTCTGCTTTGTTGACTTTGCCTTACCCTGGGTTTAAAACCTGTCTGTGTTTTTTTCCTTGCTGCACTCTAACACCCTCCCCTGTAGCCTGTAGCTGCAGTTCTGAGCTGTGCGGGGATGGGGGATTGGTTGTTCCCCCCTACAGCAAAGGCACTGCAAAAGGGATAAGTGAAACAAGAAGTGAGCCAACAAAAATCCTCTCCTTTAATGACCCAGGCTGGTGAAAGGATCACTCACATTTTTGTACTCCTACTGCTGTTCTGTTGTGCTGTGCAACATTTTGCTACATAGACTATTTTATAGAAGAAAGCTAGAAAAATATTTATTATTAATATTAAAGCAATAGTGCATTGAAGAAATGAAAAGACATTAGAAATTGTGTAAATGCTTAGATTCACTTTTGGTGGATTTTTTGTACTTTATTTATAACTAATAAAACAGACTGCATTGCTAACTATAAACCAGTGCCACACAGAAGTCACCTGCCAGGGAGAATTTCTTGTTCTTTATTCAATGCTCCTTTCTTGTTTCTTTGGGTTCAAGTAAATTCTTCTTTCACTGTTTATGCCTTTGGACTTCGATGTGTAAAAGAGACACTGCTGGGGTATAAACCACTCCACCCAGCTAGTTTACAGGGGCTGTTGGAGCTTGAGCTCCATGGCAGAGGCAAGGTGAGGCTCTACACACTGGACATGCTACCATGAGTGATGTCCTGTAGCACAAGTTTTGTGATTAGGTGCCAAAATCAGTTTCTAGGATCAGGCTGGAAATTGTCTGTTAAAGAGAGATCTCTCCCCTAAACACATCCTATGGTGCCTGTAGGATATCTCCATCATGTCCTGAGTGATAATGTCTGGCCCTCCCTCATTCCAGTGGAGTAGCATCTCCCTCCCCATGGTCTCCTCTTTAATAACTAAGGAAAGATAAATTCAGAAGAGGAAAAAAAAAATCCTTCAAATGAATACAGATATATTTGAGATTATTTTCAATCTTTTTGTTACCTGAATCCAGTGGGCCACACATCCAGCTCTGCTTCCAGCACAGCTCATTTCATAGGTCCTCTTGCACTTCTATTTCTTTACACAATGAATGGTGAGAGCCTCTGCTCCCACCCACTTTCTATTCAGCTGTTCCTCCTCATGCATTTCATGTAGAAAGACTGAGACCCCAGCTTTGACTATGTGACTAAACGAAATAGCCTTGGAGACAGGTGGCTGCTGATTGTAGAGATTTCATTC